GGACGTCAAGTGTATTGCCGCTGCACTGTCCGCGCAATTGCATCTAAGCTAGACCAAAAAACTTGCTTATTTCACAGATAACCTTGACGGGAACGCGCTCCATTATACGCCAGGTATATCACAGTCAAGCCAACGATCAACCTCCGGTCTTCCAGAGATCCCTCTGGTTCACTGAGCGGCCCGTTTAGCCCCGGAGTTCCGGCCCACATCAGCAAAGGCTAACATTGGCCGCCTAACAGCCAGTAAACAGAAATGACAAGTGTTTTTGTCGGCAATACAACTCAGAAAGTGAGTCAAAATAAGGCTCGTTTACACCCTTTTCATGCACCTGAGAAGCTAATCCCACCTTTTCATACCACCGGCAATTGTGACTGCACACGTAAGCCCATGCTCAAACGCACACAGGTCCGGTATCTACAAGGAATGGGGAAGAAGTTTCACCCGGATTGGTGGAGATCCCGCCGAGGGCCCTTTGGTATTCTCCAACAGTTTTGTAAAAAAACAGCAGTTCTATGCGAAGGAGAACGCAGCGTTCAAATAATTTACCCTACATGCAATGTCAGACCCAGGACGCTGATAAAATCGGACAACGCTCGCACACAAACGCAGTGCGAACTGATGCTGTGGAGAGATATGATCTATAACAGTAGAACTAATACCACCACAACCAATAGCAGCAGCAACTTAGCATTCCCTTGCAGTTATCGTTCAGATCAAGATCACAGCACCACCACAATCGACGACGAGACTGAATTTTGACTGTGTGACAAACAGAGATCATCACTGACCGGGCGAGGTTTGGGAGGGAGGATACGCGCTTGTAACCTTGCGCAAACATATCTGCGTTTTCAGATGATGCGATAAGAAGAAAAAATAATTTTCTGCCCTGAAAACAATCAGGCTTGATGCTTGCGTACTGATAAGGGCAGTGTAGCGTGGGACGAAAGCCATCAATGTATGGATGCGTGTGTGGGAATGAACAGTTATCCCCACTAACCGGACTGAAAGAGCAGTCGATAGTGGATGATGAGGGGATAAATGCAAGATACCCCAGCAGTGGATGCAGGGACCTTAAAATTAAGAATACAGTAGCTGCCTATACTACTAGCTACTACAGCTACTGTCAAGGCCAGAGAAATGAGGCCCAAGACAAAGGCGGAGAGGGAGAAGTGAGTTCTGTTAGCGGTCGGTGAACGCTCATCAACTAGTGTCAATATCTCCCAACCTAAACGGGCAAGGTAACGAGCTCGTAGCTCAATGGTTAGGACAGTAGACTCTGATCAAAAGGTCACGAGTTCGAGTCTCGCGTGTTGCACCGCCTGGGGCTGGGTACGACTGGATGACGACGGGTAATCAGCCAGAAATGGCCATTCCAGCCTCCTTTGTCTTTGTCGGCAATACTATCTGTCCATACCACTAGCTGCTACAGCTGCTGTCAGGTCCTGAGAAATGAGGCCCAAGGCAAAGGTGGAGCGGGACAAGTGAGTTTCGTTAGCGGTTGGTGAACGTTCATCAACTAATACAATAGCTGTTCTAACTCAAAAAATTTGAAGATCCAAATTTGAGTGGGTGGTTTAACACGCATTTGAGTTCGTCTATTTTGTTTATTGAATTGATCTGTGGCGCAAAATGTTGTTTACTAGAAAAGATTTTACTTCAGCTCAGTATGTTGAAGGGAAATGGGCGCAGAATTAGGCAAAATCCAAAGTTTCTCGATATCCAAGGAATTGCTTAAGCTATTAAACGCTGCAGACCAAAACTTCGTGTTTACGCACATTGTACTATTAAAAATATTAATAAAAGCCAGAAAAGTTTTAAGCATATCATTTCAGAGAACGGAAAAATTCGTTTTGCCGTCATGACAATTAGGTAAATGCAAGTATGATAAATGACATAGATTTCGGGAAAAAGAGAGCGGATTCAGCTTTAAAAAACAACGTTTTGCAAATCTGGTACGTTTTACCTACAAAATTAAGTAATAAACTGATGCAGCTGCAGTTTGTTTTACTACACCGAAAATAAGGACCGTAATCAAGTATACATATTAACAACTGCGAAATGCCGTCACTTTTCTCTGTCACGTCGTATACAAACGATGTCCAAACATTTCCTATCTACATTGGAGTCTAAATTAATACGGAAAAATGAAACAGAGTGGGCAGAAGATTATTAGTTTTGAGAAGAAGACGACTCGGTCGCTGGGACAATACTTTTATTCGCCTGACGTTTC